GCCCCTGACTGGACAGAATGAGAGGTCCTGGAGTCCTCCCTTGTCCTGGAGGGAGACCGTGGTCTACCCTTTGCCTCCCAAGGGAGAAAGGTCGGGCAGTAGGAGTCAATCTCCTGCTCGCAGTCCCTGATGGCACGCAGTCTCTGGACTGTGGCCTGGAGCTCTTCCAGCTGGTGCGCCAGAGACCCCAGTAGGGAGCAGACCCCCCACAAGGAGAGGTAGCCATGCTCCTGAGCCCCAGAGCTTGAAAAAGGGACAGGCAGCCCCTGCAGGGGCTCCATCTGCGTGGAGCCCGGAACCATAGGCTCCGTCTGGGTGGCCATCTCTGAGGTGCCAGAGAGGGGGGCTGCAGACCCCGAGGGGACCCTCGGGGAGCAGCGTGTGACCATCCACGTCATACTGCTGGTGGGCTGGCTACGGCTAGGACTGTCTACCTTGGGGGGCTCACAGGCAGGGCCTCAGGCCCTCCCGTGTACCCTCCTGTGCGAACACCACGCTAACTCACGCGCCGGCAAATAAACGTGCCTGTTTGCGTGGCTCCCTGTGGGGGCTGGGTGAAGTAGGGGCCTGGCTCCCACTTAGCTGCCTCCTCCCACTCTCTAGGGGTTAACCCCCTCCCACCATGGGCCCTGCTTACCTCCAGCTGTGCTGGGGGACGGCAGGGGGCTCTGCGGCTGCTGGGGGCAGTCTCTGTGGGGCTTCGGGGGAGCGGGGGCACAGCAGGCTTTCACCCGCGCGTCTCTCGCCGCTCCCGGAGCCTAACTGCTGCTCCCAGAGCCTAACTCTGGTTTTAAAACTTCTAAAACTTTTCTTTCTAGAAGTACATACATATAGCAGGAGTGGTAATACCCAATTCCAATCAGATAACATTAAAAAGGCAGAGCTACCATTATGTGAAAGCAAATTAAAGCTGATCATGTACTGGATTTTTCAGTGTACGTAGCATTAAATAGTGGACATTTAAACCACAACTGACAACAACTTCACATGCAATTGTGAATACTCTGCACTTCTATAAATAGAGACCCCAATGTCTCAGGTTGTACACCTGGACAAACACAAAATTACTAGACATTGGTGTAAAGAGACTTGTCCAGATCTTTGGGACAGAAGTAGGCATAGAATCCAATTTTCTAAGACAGGCTTCCTTGATCACAAGGCCAACCTCTCTCTTTCTACACTTGTCCATCTCACTCATTATATACCTCCCACTTTTTACAACAACCCCATCCAACTTTTCATTCCAGTTTTCCCCTCCTCCCCAGTTCTTTTCTAGCCAGCAACACTCCCCTTATCTGAGTCTTGGTTTCCCCTATCACAAATCCCATTCCTGGTTCTTTCCCAGCCAGTTCGAGTCTTCAAGACACTAGTCACTCTGGTTCCTCATCTGATCTCAGAATTCTCCACTATCTTTGTAGACTCCTTGTCCCAACCTACCCCCTCTGCTGAAGTTTTCCCCACCCCTGGTTTTCTTCTCTTTCCAGTCAGGCCACTTGCACTTTCACTACGCCAGCACAGGGAACACTGAGAGCAGAGACTCTCCTGCTTTCATTTTCAGTGCTATAGGAGCCTGTGGGAAAAGTCTTGTCCAACATGTTCAATAGAGATGGAATATTCTTAGAATTTAGCTGCCAGCTACTATCAAGCTTCTACTAAGCATGTGATGTGATTTTTCAAGTCTGGAACTATGGTCAGTGTTGCCTGTGGAAAAAAAATCCTAACACCAAAGTCACATCTCCCTGCCAAATTCCAAGCCATGCCCCAGGCATAGAGGCTAAGGCTTCAGAGAAAAAAAATTTTTTTTTTTTAAATATATAAACAAAACACCTCACATTTTGCTGAAATACTTCCTGAGAAACAGTTCAACTGGACCTCCAGTAATATTAAGAAAAAAAAAAAGCCTGAGGCAATCAGGCAATCATCCAGTACGGCAAGCCAGTATGAACAGCTCAAGTTTGGCTGTTAGAACCTACAGAATACATAGTCTTATAAGGAAGTACAAGGCATCCTGAAACTGTGGATGTTGCTACTAGCTCCTCCTATAATCAAATAATTTAAACTCCAAGACATGTTGTAACTGAAAAAGATATGTTCTAATGTTCTTGATGGTACCAAAAACTATTCCACTCTGAACTGGACATCTTGTAGGCATAAAAAAAAAAAAAATCAGCATGGGACAGGCAGGCATCCAGCGTGGAAAACCATTAGAAACAAACACTAACATTTTAAAGTCTGTATAAGTTAAAGCCATACTCCTAGCCTAGGTAAGGATTCTTATTATGAGCATTCTTTGATAAAAAAGGGAAAGTACTGATAATAGTTCAGCAATTAACTATAGGACATCTTATCATGCAGAGGAATGTAATTTTAAAACTTAGCAAACTAACAGTGAGAGTATGATTGACACTAACCTTGAAGTATCTTGTCTTTGTTGTATCTTGTTTCTCCACTGAAAGACAGAAATGTTTTTGCTTTACAAGTAAGTCTATACAAGGCACCAAAGATTCAGCAGGGGGGCAAGGCAGCACGCAAAAGCATAAAAAAAAGAAGGTACCAGTTCTATATAGTCTCCTCCGAAATAGAGTATTTCATTCCATTCTGAGTACCGCACTAACAGAAAGAAAAAACTGGAGGAAATTAAAAGACTGACTAAAATAATGCAGATTGATTTATGAGGAAAGATTAAACAGCTACACTTGGCCACCTGACAAGAGGGTAAGTAGGGTGAGGAATGGGAAGAGGCTTAAGTCTACAAATAGTTAAAAGGTAGGAAGACTGAAGTGGGAAAAGAATTAAGAGTGGTACAAGAGGTGGAGGAATATAAATAAAATGAGAAAAAAAATGTCAAGGATATATGCCTGGTAGAAGAGTACAGGCCCCAAAGCCTGGATCACTGAAAGACATATAGGCAGCATGTATTCAGAATAATTTGTGGACAATATTCTTTTTGAACAGAAAGTCTTTTCAGAGTACTATTTCTACAGTTCTACCTTTGGATGAATGCTTACTGCAATTTGTGAGTTCGCATCACTCCAATATAGAGGACTTTATTCAAGACTACAAATAAAGGCCCCAGTACAGCAAAAACACAGCTAAGCTTGGTGACTCCTCACATGAATAAAAGGACATTTTGCTATGTATTTGCAAAATTATGGCCAAACACATCACTGACTTGCCAAATGAAGAGCCACTGGCAATACTATAAAACAGGTTTTCAAAATGATCCACAGAGAGATGGCTGGTCATGAGAAGCAGGTTCTTCCCCTTCTATAAATGTCATTAAAAGCCAACTAAAATACAACATAGTATCTGAGTAAATTATGAACACAGAATTTTAAACATACTCCAAGTCAGTCTAAATCTACCCCCTAAAGTGTACAATGAAATTCCTAATGACTATTACGGAATCCAAATATGGCTGATAAAGACTGCTTTAGGAAACCCCACCTTCAGATTTTTCTGTTTTCTAAAAAGAAAAAGACTCAGCTTGGCTTATTTTCCAACTGACCTAGAAGCAGGAAAAAAATGATGCCTGAATCACCAAATCAGCAGATTCAGATCATTAAGAATAAATTATAAGATACCGTTTTAGTTGCACAGTGCAAGCATTAAACTCTTAAGCAGAAGGAAAGAAATGAGCAAAGTATTTGTAAAGAATATAATTAGTAAATGACTACTGCCTATGATAATCTAAGTCACAGAAATTTAGGGCCAACATTTACTTTTGGATTCTATGCACGCGCGCGCACCCCCCCCAAAAAAAAAAAAAAGC